CTCAAATTTTATTTTGAATGGATAATTATTGATTACAAGTCTTTTGCAATGTATGTAAGGCAAAGAAAAACTGCCGAAAAAAAACGTCTAAGGCCGTAGCAACGGCATCCTTTGGCCGTTAGATCAAGTGTTAATTTGGTATAATTTTAGAAAATAAATATAAATTCGGCATTTATGTTTAAAAAATAAATATAAATAAATAAAAAAAATTATTTCTAAAAAATAAAGATAAAATCAAGAAACAAAGATTCTTGATTGTTTCTTGTTCTTTTTCCTGTTTTCCAGTGAATTAACAAGCAGGAAAATCGTAGTATGTCATTGTTGATACAATTGACGCCTAATTTTGCGATCCGACATCTGCTTGAGAGGCTCCTTCAAAGGTTTACCATGCCTTGATCGAGTGTCGGAGCCGATTTCTTCCAAAAAAATTAACTTCATTAAAAAGTCGTCCTAGTACAGGCTACTTTCTTTTCAAATGAAAGTGCTCACATACATACTACAGTAGAATACTTCACTTTCTTGTTACCGTCTCAACAAGCATTTCAACTTGCTTTTGATTAATAGGAAATCGAAGCATAGTAAATAAACTAAACAAAACAATTCCATTGTCTACTGTTCGATTATGTCCGACAAAAATAAAAGTAAAATAAAGCAACACAGATATAAGACTCACTCACTTATCTTTATTTTTTAAATATAAATGATGAAATTATATTTATCCATTATTATAAATGAACAATAACGCTAAACTAACACCCCTAAACTAATCAACATGAAAAGCTTTTTCATAAACATTCATGATAAACTAATCTAAAAACTGACTCATCTCAACTTTGTTCTTTCTTTTTTCTAAAGACTAATATAAAACAAAAAATAAACAAAAATAAATAAAGCCCCAGTGAAGTATATTCTCTGATTGGTCCTTGTCACCTATCCAATAATAAGGTTGATCCACAAAAATCCATCGATTGTCAATCTTAATGAAGCAGATTCGTTTGGTATTCTTAATGATGTATCAATTAATCTTGAGCTCAAGTTCAACGTTAGGTTGTTTGAATAGAGGCCGCCTCGTGCTGCTGCATATATCCGAATGTAACTGTAAATATAGGGTACATACTTAAAGTTTTAGGAACCATTCTCTTTTCATCATAGCATCATGAATCATTTTAGGATTTTCATTTTTCAAGTTGAAGAAAATTTCGAAAAAGAGATAAAAATCATTTTTAGAAATAAAATTTTTGTAAATTGTTGAGAAAAAATAATTGAAAACTAAAGTATTTAAATAAAATGTTGTTAAAAAGTATAGTATTTTTTGTGAAAGTACAATGATACTTTCAAATGATGGTACGACAACTTTCATGCAATTATTAGAAGAAAGACGAAGAAAAGAGAAAAGAGACATTTTAGATATTATTCTATAATAAAACTAATTTGATGAATTATGCACGATTCTGCACAACAAGTATAGAAAAATAATAGAACGTGAAAATTATATTCTAATAAAATGACATATAATATTTGTCAATTGCGGTATAGACTGATAGCATCTAATAGAGGAATTAGATGTGCATATTAGTCTAAACCTCAAAATTCAAAGTACGTCTCTAATTTTGAACTCACGGACAAAATAATATAAATTTTACGTTGAGTTTCTTTTCTGTTACATGTGTGACTTCCTCTCGTGAACAAGATGTTTTGTGCGTCACTCATTTTATTTCTTCGACAAGGGATGTCTTTGTTTTTGTCTTTTTTTTCTCTTGTTGTCATATGAGTGAATTAAATAAAAGAAGTAAATTTTTAATTTTAATATGACACTCTGTATTTTTTTTGTTTTTTTTGTTTCATTGCTTCTGAAGGAAATTGTGGAAATATAAAACAGATTTTTTATCTTTAAATTAGAATAGTTTGAATATCTTTCTTTTTTAAAAAAGACAAGCAGCGTATAGTTAAAGTTTTTGTCATTTTGGTCATTTTTTTATAGACTAATTGACTGTCTCTACAAACAGCGTATAAGTTGTTCGAAAACTGTGTGCAACTGTTAAATGAGCCGTGAACATATTAAATTAGCAAATCATGTTCAAGCAAAAATTCTTCAAAATTATGAACGTTATCTTGGTTTAAATGATCAATTTTCGAGTAGTTCAAGTTCGATTAGAGACAATTCATTTACAAAAAGTAACAAAAATGAAGTTCAGTATCATCAATCACATAACAAACTTCCAAATATTCGTCCAATATCCACAAATCATTCAATGGATGATAGAGAAGAACAGTTTTTAGTCTTTGAACAAGATAGATCGGAACAAAAATCATTAAATTATATGAGAGAAGAGAAATATGAAAAATCATCAAATATAAAACCAATACATTCTATGAATAAGAAAGAAATGGATGAATTGACACAATCTAACACTTCATTCATAAATCGTCGACATCAAGGTATGTATGTATGTACACTTTTATATCTACTTTATTTCACTATTAATACTGTTTTTCTTCTTATTTAGCTGATCATGATAGAAATATATCTAATAAATATTCTGATAATCTCATATTTCAAAGACAATTGAAGAGACGAGATACATATACAACCTATAGTTTAGGTGACAAACTCGACACATTTCACGATTCATTTTTTACCGATATGATCGATAATAATAGTCAAGAATCTACTGTGAATAGCGCTCATAATAATCAGAAGGATCAGTATTATTCTCCATCATCTACAACATGTTATCAATGTGAACAACAACAAAAATTACTTGAAAATGAACAATATCGACTAGCAGCATTATACGATGTGAATAAAAAATTAATAGATGATCTAAAAAAATCGTTGACACTTACACGGGAATATAAACACAATAATGAAATACTAAAACGAAATAATTATGAAATTCGTTTACATCTTGATTATCATCGAGAATACATCGATAATTTAAAACGACAAATTGACTTAATAAAACATAAAGACAACTATTCAAATTCACGACAAACATCAGAAAAGACTAATATTATCAATTATGATCATTCGAGACAAATGAGACACGAAATGCAACTGTATAACAAAATTTTAGCTCAAAAAAAATAAGTTGTGAAAGAGAAATTTTGTTAAATCAAACTGACAGTGCTCCATTCCTCTCTTTTGTATCTGTCATCCGATTAGCAAAAAATCTAAATACAAAACATAAATATATGATTTAGAATGAAATCAAGTCTTCTTAATCTTTACTGGTAAAAGTGCCATTTATCGTTGTGAATTGCTCTTTAGAATGGCAAAGGGAAAAGATTTGTACTATGATATATTTTATATTGTCTATTGGGTCAAATAGCCATTAACAGCTGTTGCATTAATAAAAGGAAAAAAAACTAATATACGATTAATGGAATAGTCAATCAATACGATATAGAAGAAAAACATTTTGTTTTTTGTCTTCAAAATCAGACATGATAATTTTAGTGTCGCCTTAATTTAATAAAAAATTGAAATTTAATTAACTAATATGTCGTTTGAAATGAATATTGATAAATTATCCGAAGCCGAAGTGGCTCAAAATGAAATTGCCAAAGAACATGATGATAAAGACATGGAGGTAATAAATGATCAAATATTAGAATAAAAGCTAATATTTCATTGTTTAGATGCCAGAAAGTGTTGTTGTTAATCTTACAGATCAATTCTATAATTATTTTACTGATGGTACAACAAAAATTGGTAGGACAAACAAATCTTGTTTTGATTTTCTTCTAGTGCAACAAGAAGCAATCCTTCAAATATAAAAATCAAAATCTGTTTTTTTCTCTCCATAGACTATATGCTCGTGTTTGAAGAAAAACGTGGAAGTGTTTTAGAACAATTGACACCATCATCAAGTGAGTTTGAATCAGATGAAATTCGAATTATTCGTAAACAAAAAGATAAACGGCTAGCATGGAAAGACCCGTTTTTAAAAAATTTAGCAAATATTGGATTATTAATGGAGACTGTTAGTATATCAATCATTTTTTTATCTCTCTCATCTAGTCAATAATTATATTATTTCAAGGAAATACGCGAAGGTGACAAAAGTACGATTCACTTTATAAAGTTGAATATACCTTGGAATTTAATGGTGAAATATGCTCAAGATTTAAATTTTCGTGCACCCATTCAGGTTTGCTGTTTTCACGTTATTTTTCTATTATTTTTTTTCTACAAAAAACCACTGATTAAAATGTTGTAGGCTGTTGATAATAATGAAAAGTTGGAGACAGTTACAGACAAATTATTTCGTTTTATTCATATGAGAAATGCTTTAAAATCGGAAGCACCCCCGATTCGTTATGATTTATATCATTGTCTATTCCAGTCATCGAAACAAGATAAATTTTTAGGCAATGATCGTTTTCCCGTTCATTTTTCAAATACTCAACGAAGTTTAATTGTTCATGAAATTCTTCAGACAACACCTTTTGGACGAACGGAAAAAGGAGAAATTGGTATTGATCGTTTAATACGTGAACGTGTATTTCAAGCGGCATATCCATTGCATGAAGGCGATTATAAATTTAGTCCAACTGAAACTCGTACACCCCAAGAAGAAAATAATCCACGTGAGTTGTTAATAATAAGACAAAAATAAAACAGTAAATTAATAGATCTATTTTATATTGAAAAGGTCGGATACTCTATGATACGTGGGCACGATATCGTATTTGGTACAAAAGTCAACCATTAGATCTTATACGAGAATATTTTGGTGAAAAAATAAGCATGTATTTTGCTTGGCTAGGTAAGAATAGATGTTGTTGGCGTTAAGGGCTCCCCCCCCTCCCCCCGCAGAAATGATCTCCGACACCGTACATCCGATCTTGACGAAACTTTCCATAAATGTTAGGTCTAATGAGTTATGGGAATGAAAAAACTTTTTTGGCTCCAAGTCTTACGGTTTAGGAGTTTTCCAGAGATCAAGGTCCAAAAAGGACCGTGAAGTTTTTCTCAAGATTTTTTAATATACTTCAAGCTGGAGAGTCCGGATTTGTTTTATTTTAAACTAGACACCTAACTACATGGACTGATCGGCGCCGATTTTTCAATTAAGTCGTTGTTAGTTTTCAAAGCAACTAACAACCTCCAAAACCCGAAAAATCCTTCCTAGTTTTCTAAAAATCCTCAGTTTGACAAAAAACTAAGACCTAATTCAAAAATCGGCGTCGGTCAGCCCCTGTAGTTTCTTCTGCTATTTTAAACAAAAAAGAATAAACTCTCTACGACAAACCGCTATTAAAAATCTTGGGAAATACCTCAGGTGTAACTCTTATATAGAGAATACGCTGTTTTAAATGCTGCATAAAATACTCAATGTTAGGACTTGTAGGAAAATGCCTGTAACTTTTTGATGCAAGGCCATACAGAGTTGTACGAGATCTTATTTTGATCAGAAACGTTTGCTCTACAAAGGTGTGTGTTCAGAAAAAGTCTAATTGCATATGTATCCAGGAAAACAGTATTATTTGAAGACCCGCTTTTTCGAGGCTCCTGGAAAACTTGCTCAAAATTCGCGAAAAACCACTTTTGTAACTAAAAGCGACATAGATTCTGAAAGTAGACACTTCAGGTTAGCTTTCCATAAAAATCACCATTTCTGAGGAGGGAGGGGGAGGGTTAAAGAACTCGTTTATGTTAATTAAAGTAAGATTATATTTCAGGATTATATACTGCCTGGTTATTACCAGCATCCATTGTTGGTATACTTGTATTTCTTTTTGGATTTATTTATGTTTCTAATAATGTGCCTGTTCATGATATATGTACACTTGGACAAAATATTACCATGTGTCCAATATGTGATGAGGTTTATAAAATCAAGACACTATTATTTATAATAAGTAAATAAAAATTATACTTTAGAATATTGGGTGTCCATATTGGGAATTGTCTGATACATGTTCTTATGCTAAAATTGGAGTATTTTTCGATCATCCAGGCACTGTTTTTTTCGCCATATTTATGAGTTTTTGGGGTAATATATATCTATATATATATATATCTTGTCTTCTTGTCATCTATATTTTATAACAAATAGCTGTCACGTTTCTTGAACATTGGAAACGTAAAAATGCTGAAATTGCTTATCACTGGGATTTAATGGATTTCGAAGAAGAAGAGGTATTAATCAAGAATAAATAAACAATAAATTTTTACATAGTTATCATTGAAGGATCGTCCACGACCCGAATTTGCTGTACGAGCACCATCTGTCGAAAAAAATCCTGTAACTGGACTATTAGAACCATATTTTCCCACACATCGTAGACGCTATCGAATTTTAGCTGGAGTGTTAACATTGAGTGTCATGGTATGTATTTAAAATAACAATAAAAGAATAAAATGTTTAGTATGCTTAGTTATTGTTTGATTTTTTTTCTAGATATGTATTGTACTCATATTTATTATAGCGGTTATTGTCTATCGAATTATTATTAGTATACCGTTATTTAAAAATAAAGAATTAGGGTAGATAATAGATTGTAATTTAAAATGATATAAAATAGAATCATTTTTTTAATTTTATAGAAAATATGCGCTTAGTTATGCATCGATCACTGGAGCAGTATTGAATTTAGTCATTATTATGATATTAGGACGATTATACGAAATATTAGCTCGTAAACTTACACAATGGGGTATAAGAATAAATGATATTAACAATTTTTTTTTGTTTTTTAATTTACCATGAGATCAATTTTTAATTTTCGATTTATTTTTAATTTTACTTACTTAAAACAGTCACGTTATTTGTATTATAGAAATGCATCGTACACAAACAGAATTTGATAATTATTTTACTATTAAAGTATTTTTATTTCAATTTATCAATTTTTATTCATCAATATTCTATGTGGCATTTTTTAAAGGAAAGTATGTGTGTACTTCGATATAGAAATGTTTGCTTTCATATCAATTAAACTATTTAGATTTACCGGTCAGCCTAGTAATTATTGGCGAATATTTGGATTAAGACAAGAAGAATGTGGACAAGGTGGATGTCTTATTGAATTAGCTCAACAATTAGCTATTATCATGATTGGAAAACAAGCAATTAATAATATTCAAGAAATTGTTGTACCGTATGTTTTAAAAAGAATAATTTTATAGTTCATCGATGAATATATCTTTATATATTAAAGAAAATTACAAACAATTTATCATAAACTAAAAGTTTCTATAACAAAAAGTCAAACACGATGGGAAGATGATTACAAACGTATTGAATTTCCTGGATTATTTGAAGAATATTTAGAAATGGGTATGATATTGATAATTATTTATTTAAATAAACAAGAAATAACAATGAATATGATGTTAGTTAAAACTTTTTTTTCTTTTATTTTTATTACAGTATTGCAATTTGGTTTCATTACAATATTCGTTGCTGCTTTTCCACTTGCACCATTATTTGCATTATTAAATAATTGGATTGAAATACGTTTAGATGCACATAAACTTGTGTGTGAAACAAGGTATTCACATTTTTTTCAAATATCTACAAATAATTATGAATATTATCATTTTTAGACGACCAGTAGCATTTCGTTCATCTACAATTGGCATATGGCTTGATATATTGACATTACTAGCACATTTAGCTATTATCGCTAACGTAAGTAGAAAAAAAATATATAAATCTTATATTAGTCCGACTAATTATATCATGAATGATATAAAACGAATACTAATTGACTACTATAGTGTAAAATTTTATTTAGGCATTTTTAATTGCATTTACATCCGAATTTCTTCCAAAACTTTTGTATATGTACACTATCGATTGGAGTATGCAAGGTTATACAGAATTTACTTTATCTCAAGCGCCACCAGGCACATCAAAGATACCTTGCAAGTAAGTTTTATATAGTAAAATTTTTGAATTTCTTATTAATAACGTATTTCTATTATTTTGTTTTGATATCGTGATTTTCGTGATCAGAATGGTAATTTAACATTCTTTTATTGGAAATTATTAGCATTACGACTATTTTTTGTTATCTTATTTGAAGTAAGTGCATAAATTTTGTCTATTGAAAATACAGAATCTTTTCTCTATTATGTTATCATTCTCAGCATATTGTCTTTGGTATATGTCGAATAATTGATCTACTAATACCAGACGTACCCGAATCATTGCAAATTAAAATTCGTCGTGAACGTTATCTAGCTAAACGCGCATTGCAAGAGTCAAGTAATTTCAGTCAGGTAACTTTAATTAATTTTCTCTATCATTTAATCTTTATTAATTATTATTATTTTTTGAAGATATTTACTGAATATGACGATGAACGATCAAAACCATCTCGATTAACAAGATTTTTTAGAACTAGCCGAACAAAAATAGAGCCAAAAAATATTAAAACGTCCTAATACATTGATTTAAAATAAAGTTGTAAATCCATAGTTAAAGCATTTTGTATTTATAAAAATTGATCATTTTACATTTTGTACAGTAATTTCCATATATTTTTCGTTAAAAATTCAGAGTTACCGTGAAAACAAAATACAAATCCAGTTATAAAAATGTTTGTAATTAAATGACATTATTTATTATTCCAAGAATTGAAATAATTTTATTTGATATTGAGATATAAAACAATGAATAATAGTCCTTTTGTATTAATCTATCTGTGCATTAACTTATTCTGTATGAAGTTCAACTATCCATGGAAATCAGACACAATATTTATGCATAAAAATAGTGACATAAATCAATATGAGTGAACATGAGTTTAATTTAGCTGATATTATTCATTTGTATAGTTAATTTTATGTAAAATAGGAAACTACACCCATGTTCCAATTTTAGATAAAAATCAATCACATTCTTGATAACTATATTTATTTTAAATTAATCGATTTATCTTTGAATATTAAAACATATTTGATATTGTACGTAAGGTATCACAACAATTGGTTACACTCATAAATCGGTGTTTAACAGACGACAGTTATTGTCAATTATCTCGTTTGAATAATTGTTGTGTGTTGTTCATAAATAATGTAGTAGATAAAGAAAGTATGACTAATATTATTGACAAAGCAGATCCAGTCAAGCGAGATGGCATTGACCATTTATATTGTTTTCTACGTGATCGGTCATTTTATATAATTTGGTTGAAAACGTCATTTCGACACTTTTTTCGCTATTTTCTTGTCTTTATATCTGTTGAGCAGACGGACGCCTGGAACTCGCGATTGTCTCGTTTTATGAAGGAAAGTGTGTTTAACACGATGAGATGTGTCAGAACTTTCTATGGAAATATATCAACAAAACAGAGACAGACTTTTGTTAAAAAACACGAAAATTTGATATGTATATCTATTTGACTAGTATTGAGTATCTTCGTAGTATCTCCATAATCAAGAGCTATAGTGAACTGTGCACAAAAGTGTCGAAATCATGTTTTCGAGCGAGTTACGGGAAATGGCTGTGAGCAGATGTAAAATGCATTCATTTTTTCAATGAAGTAGAGTCTAAATTTAATAGAATGAAAGATACGAAATATCGATTTAATGATGAAGTTAATAATAAAAAAAAAAGTGTACGAAATTGACTGAGCAGGAAAGAACATGATATACAGTTGGAAAGATGTAAAAATTTCATACAACGATAATTAACTGACGAACATTTTTACCACTTTAATTTAATAGCTAATAATAGCGAATGCTCATTAAAAATACTTATGGTTGATGAAGATGTTTTATTCTTTACTAGAGGTGAGATCAGTGCATGTTTTACTGAAATCAAATTGAAAAGTTTTTTTTGAAAAAAGCAAATTCTGTGAATCAACTTTTTTTAGAGAATCAATTCAGTAAATGAATATACAGTAATAATGAGAATACTCAGAGATATCTATCGATGAGAACCTCAGAGGTATGACTACAATTTGCCATACGTAAGTATAAAAATATTCGTTTTTACTAAAACTGAACACCGATGAATACTTTCACTAGTCATTTAAATAGTCATTGGATTTCCACTAGTCATTTTAAATGTAATTTCAATTCTTATCTTTCTTAACTGTGCATTTGCGTTAGGAAGAAAAAACGATCAAAATTATCAATATTTGTCCATTTATTTGTAGCTATCAAATTATACAACTTCATATTGACATCAATGAAACTCAAATATTTCACTGTCAAACTGAAAACGAAGAAAAACCATTTGCACTAATATCAAATGGTCTAATTCAAATTGATCGATTGAGTCTGGAAATGAGAGAAAATAGTGTACAATTTTCATAGATGATAAAAATGATTTAGAAATAGTTATTTAGCAGTTAAAAAGAGAAATATATCAAAAAATAGCGACACCAGCAACAATTTACAAGAGAATGTTTAAAAACAATATTAAAAAAAAAATTGAAATCGTTCGTCAAATTAATCCAGAGATGATAAAAATGACACGATTATGACGGATATAAAACATCATTGAAATGTATTGCCGGATGAAACCGATGATGAATAAAGTTGTGAATGCAAAAACTGATATCATATAGTTAATGTTACATCCACGAGTTAATTGAAATGAACTGAGAGCTTGAAAGAATTAAATAATTTTGAAAACTCAACAATTTTCGTTAAAATCAACAATATAACCATGTCTCGTTTTGATAGTAAAATGCTGGTATAATTTATAAATAACAATAATAAATGGTTAAGATTGAACGCCGATTGCAAATAGATATCAGCTGATACCAAATTGATACTCTAATAGCAGAAACATTTAGTGATTTAAAAAAAAGAGAGATTTGTTCTCTTTCTAGAGTATATACAATTTTGTTGCGATATCAAAACAAAAAAAGCGTAATAAATACATCATAAAGACAGAAAACAAATCGAAGATGAGTAATCAAAAGCAAATACAATACATATCTGACAAGTAAATATTGACAAAATAATCTGACATAAGAACAGATAGAGTAATAAAAAAAAAATAGATTATCCGTCAGAGAGAAAAAAGAGTGACGCAAGTAAATTCAATTCATTCTCGAATTTCAAATGGAAACGATGTTTATTTTACTATGAACTCAAAAAATATCCCGTTATTTTTGAATTGTTTTTCACCAATGATGTTTGTTTTTTCTTTCCTTTTTGTTGTGACTTATTTTGAAATGAATTTGCTGATGGTGTTCGTTTCCATCCACCCATCATCATATCATGTCCACCAAGAGCATTATAGTTTTTATTTTTGACAACATTATGTGGCCGAATAATAAAATCTGAAGATAAAAAATCATCATCATCATTGTTACTAGACTTTTTCTGTTTTTTTAACAATGGTTGTTCGAGATCATTCTGTTTAATTATATCATGTAAAATGTCAATAGCTGATAAAGATGTTTGAAAATTTTCATCTGCTAACATTAGATCACATGAGTTTGTTGGTTGGTTCATCACTGAATTATTACTAATTCTAAAAATAAAGTAAACAAATAGAGATGAATGGTATTGAATAATCTATTTTTATCTTACATTTTATTTTGACTATTCGCATCATCATTTGATTGTTTTCCTGTTTTTACATTTGTTAAATCAACCATATTATGATCCACTTCGTCAACATCATCATCATCCGATTCAATCATTGGAATTGGTAGTTTCTGTTGTTGTCGTTGTTTTATACCTGCAATTCTTTTACGGACTTTTTGATTAACACTGTTACTTGTTGGACTTTCATTTAACAAACGCCTAGCTAATGATTTTGTTTCCGGTGATTGTGTTGATGATACATCATTCATAATTAAAGTTTCTAATAATTTAACACGTTGTTTTTGAGATTCAATTTCTTTTTTATAAATTTCTATTTCTTTCTTCTCATTTTCAACTTCATCCATCCGTCTAAAGCGAAGAAAATACGCTAGTTGATGAATGAAGTATACATATATTGTGTATACACAAGAACATCTTATATTAGGTGCAAACAAAGGTATTCTTAAACAAGAAACGTACCTTTTCAATGAATGTCGTTTATCAACTGCTATTAGTTCTTTATTTTGGATTTTAAATTTTTCTGCTTCAGCTGTAACACGATCTAAATGCTTCATCACATGTTGTTTATCTTCCAATACTTTATTGTATTCTTGTTTCAAAATCACAGTATAGCGTGCCAATTCTTCAATAAGAAGATTTTTATCTCGAACACTTTCTTTTCGATCATTTAACTTTTTCATTTCAACTTCAAAATCACCTGTTGACCCTAGCAAAGAAAACAAAATCAAAAACAATAAATTTAAACTATTTTTTTTAACACAAGTATAAATTCAACCTTTTAATATAAGTTCAACATTTCGATATTCTTGTAACTTTGATTGAACAAGTTTAACTGTATTTTGAAGCTCGTCGACTTTTTTCTTGGATGATTCTGTATATCTAAAAAAACACATCATTTTTATCATCAAATATACACGATACACTCTAATGCATATGATAAGTCGATAATTTTTAAATTGACAAAAATGGACAAGTAAATCTGCTACATATTACTTTAACTGTTCTTGAATAATATGTTTTTGAGATTTCAATTCGTTTACTTGTTTTTGTAATTTCGATTTTTCATCATTCAAAGTTTGAACAGTTTTTTCTAGCTATAAAAAAGAAAATATGCTTAAGTTTTTTTCATAGTTGAAGTAAAAGTCTGACGACTTTACTTTCGAAGAGTCGCTAATAAGTTTATTTATCTTGCTTTCTTTTTCACGAAGTTCATAACTTAGTGTATCAATACGGATTAACAATTCAGATGACTCAACATTGGCTTCTTGTGTTTGAAATAATGGTTCAGTAAGAAACAATTTTCTAGAAAAAAATAAAATAAACAAAAGAATTTTGGACTAGCTATGGAGAAGAAACATGGGTAAAGAACGTTTTTACTAAACTCGCTTACTTACTTGATAATTTGTTTAAATGTTACGATATCACGACACTGAGGACATGTTTTTTTTTTCTCATCAACAATCCATCGATTTATACACATCTCATGAAAACAATGGCCACATGGACAAACCGATATATGAGAATTTGGGCTAAAAATTTCTGAACATATTGTACAAATAACACGCATTATTTGTCCTAATATCGTCTTTTAATTGAACAACATCTAAAACGCAATACAGGAAAGAAAATCGTCGGAATTAAAAAATCTGTTTCTGTGACTTGTGCGTTTCAAAAATGAAATATTAAACGTACTCTCAATCAAGGAGTAAATATTTCGAGTAAATATTTCGAGATGATCATCATGAAATACGGGTTACTTTTCTGCTGGTTATGGATCTGATATCTATTTTCCCCTAAATGACTTACTAATACCATTCCTTCAGAAATCCATCGCAAATGAAGAGGTACGTCGAGTTATCCACTTGAGAAAAACGTTAGTCTTACCAGTCAAGTTTTCAAAGAAATGGAGATATAATATTTTTATTTATCTGAAAATTATGAACTTTTGGTTTTTCTATAAAATTTTGTAACTCCGTGAAAACTTACTCGTTAAGCTTGAAAATTTTGTAGGTAAAGATGTGTTCTATCAATCGAGTTCTATCTGAATTTCTTTATCTGCAAGTTTCAGTCGCTACCAGAAAGCCACATGGGAAAAAAATTCATCATATCAGATATGTGACAAGAGTCAAAACTCCAAAGAACTACGTTTTGATCTTATCGGGATTAATTACTTTGTGATGCTACATTGATATGAATGGATTAAATAGAAATTATACTGGTTCTCTCGCTCACAAGTGTTCAACAAACAGAGATCGATGGATTAATTTTGTAAGCCAAAAGATAAAGTGGGAATTTTCAAAAACAAAGTGGGATATACTTTTCTCAGTATGGAAAACAGAAGGGAAATCCATTATTCAAAGTGGACACCCATTTTACTCTCGCTTGCCCCACTAATCATTAAAAACACTGAGGCAAACGCTAGTGTCAAAGCGAAATTATACTGTTCCAAACACTATGCGCTTAGCGTTTTTTAATCTTCGAGTTGACACTTAGGTATATATAAAGTGCATGAAATAATATATAATAATAAAACAAAAGTCTTTTTCCACCAGTTTACATATACAACAAAACCGCGCGACGAATCGAATTTGATTGATCCAGTTATGAAGCAAATAGCGTTGCATAGATTTAAATTCCTCATGTGTTGAGAGAGTCATCCCACAGTTATGGCTACTCATAGCGGCAAGGCGTATAAAACTATTGTAGGTAGAAACAAAAAATGATATTTTAGAGATTACTTATCAGAACTGTACAATTCTTTTTTCCTAATTAAATTAAAAAAATAAATACTTCCGTTTAAAAGATTTCTTCCGTTTAAACTGTCTCTGATTTCAACCTGCTGTAACCTCAACAACATCACGCCAAGATAAATCGAGCTGATTATACGTAGCTTGAGAGCATTGAAAATGGAATGTTAATAAGTGGAGAGTTGAAAACATATACAGAACATCATCCACAAACGTGCAGTTGGCGACAGACAGAGGACAGGAAAGTGGAATGACTCATCAATTTAAGAATGGTCAAAAAAGACAACAAAAGGGTTAATCAAATTCCTACAAAAAAAATCAACGTTTTGTTGATTGTTATGTTAAATGTGGTCGGTCGAAAGAACTGTTGAACAGTTCTTTCGCTCAAATGAGCTGAACTTATGAGCTGGAACTGTTACAGGTCTAAAGGGTATAAAAATAAATTTTCTAGCGCTTTATGGTGGTTTCACTTAAGAAACACAAAAATACAAAACATCATTTAAATTTAAATTTGAATCGATATTGGCTTTTTGTACATGCGCGTTTTTAATCAGCAGTCATAATTTCAGGAGTTATATTATGTATGCCAGGATAAAATTTAATTCGAAACTTTCCCACCCGCGACAGCACTTAATGGTTAAGATTTTCTCAGCGAGTTGGCTTCCTTGAAGATTTAGTATTTCACTGTTTTTCACATTCCCTTTTAACAGTACTTGAGACAAGCCAATATTTTTCTGTTACCGCTCACTTCCGGGGCAAAGTTCTGATTTAGTTCCTAAAACAGTGCATCTGTTCAGCTCCGTTCGAAAGAACTTTTCAACAGTTCCTATGATAGGAGTTGATATGGAACTGTCATACCCCTAATACCCTTTGTGTGTGGTGAAAAATGAACTAATATGGTAAAAAATGCGTTTCGGAAAAAATTTCCGCTTTTTCGACTTTTTATTCCACTTTTCTGACCCGAGCATCTGACAGCTCTGTTTTAGACCTATAAAACCATTAAAAAGTACATTAGTTTATGATAATAAATGAGATGTAACATTGTTAGTAGGAAAATCTATAAGAAGGACTAGACCGTCTACGCATGCACAATATACGTTTAAATGAAGAATATCAATCAGAAAGAAAGAATGAAACAGAAAGTTATACCAGTATTATGCTCATTAATCTTTCGATTTCTATTGACGGTACATTTCCAAATTTCTACAGACTTGTAATAAAGGCTCAGTCCGACGACTAGCATATGGGTTGAATACTATCTACAATTATTTAGTAATTTGAACATTTGGATTGTTTAATGCAGTGTTTAACGCTGATTCGACATATGATGTTGGTTTTAAGAAAAAATTGAAATTTGATGGTAAAAACTGCAAAATATGAGTGCATTTCCTTGATTTTTCTTGTATTTGAATTATAATGGATTGAGCCAATATGTAGATTTTGTTTACTCAAAATATTGTACAGCTTTTCAAGAGCTATTTTCTATACTGAAGACTAGTTAGATCCTCTCTTGCTTATGGGAGAAAATGGGAAAATATGATCACTCAAGTATGGTCAATAGATAGAGGATGCTTGAAAATAAACAATTTCTCCTTAATAATATGGTATGTAACTATGGTTCATACACCATTTTGTTCAGTTTTTCATTAGCTATATTTCTATATCAAGGTTTACCATAACTTTATATTAGATTTTGAACAGAATCGTTTTTGTTAAGCATCGGCATCCTTTATGCATCATCTTAGAAAAGTTAATTTAAAAATTCTCTGTATGGTTATGAAGGTTCGGATAAACTGAAAAATGTGTAAACTCGCTTTCTCTATAAAATCCGATCGAAATTAACTTGAAAAAACAGTGGGCTAAAATCAAAGGAAATTGCCCCCTTATTTCTATTAGTTAAAAATTCATTGTTAGTTTGGCCGTGTTCATTTTACACACCTAATTTGCACAAAATTATTAAGTGCTCATTTAGAATATTTCCTTTGGACAAAATTTGCACTCTTCAATGAAGAAGATTGTGCGTATGGTGGGTTAATAGTTGACATAAATGTTTCTAATCTAAGAAAAACCATCCACGCAATAAAAAATATAAATGATAGGAGAAAAAGCATTTTAATTTATTACACTTTTCTGGTGTACACACTCTATTGCATGACCGGATAGTGGTTGAAAAGCAAAGAAGTATACCACAGTAAAACATGAAATTTATTCTTCAAATAATGTAACTAATTCATCTATGAACAACAAATTGAGAAAATTATGTATTATTTATATTTAATATGTACCTATTCGCACCTCTACTTGTTGTACACTTTTTCAAAAATTCGTACACGTTCAAAAGTCCTATTTCATTGTTTTCAATTCTAAGAAATATGAACAATGAATGAGTGACTACGATGAGTTGTCATTGCTTGTAAGAAAGGCTCAGTGATTCGACGATTTGAATATGAGCTAAACACTATTTACAATTATTCAGTTGATCAACTTAACGTGACAAAAAATAAAAAACTTTATGACATAGTAATTCATACCAACGAATAAGTCATACACGTACAAATATAAAAAACTTTAGTTGTACTTTATGTTAGCGTAAAAGAGATAGCTAAACATTACTTGTTCGCCTATTCAAACCAAAAGTGACAAATTCTTGATCCTTGTCCTTCTCGGCGATGATGTATTTTATACTATTGACCTGGGAAGACCGAAAATAAATCGAACAAAGACTTAATCAGGTTTTATAACACAGGAAGAGGATAAAGACTGTCTCTTGAGGTAAATTATTTTCTCTTAAATAATCCTTTTGTGAAACTTCATTTATCCAAATGTGTAAATCATTACTTCGCATAAATTTCTCAAAAAAAAGATGATTAGTATTGTTAAATACTCATAAAAGTGTGTGACAATTTACAAGCTTATAGTTTTATCGTATGATTACATCACATCTTTGGAACAACAGACTTTGAGCAGTAAGCGGATTTACGCTGTCTTTTACAAAGAGTTTTTAAAACGTGTCAAAAAAACGGCTGATAGAAAAAAAGCATATGTGTACCTTGAAAAAATAAGATGGTATTCTCTTGAATGGAGAAATATTTGGTATTAAAATAGTGAAATGTTGATCAGAATAAGCATATAATTGTTATTTTTGTTATCAGTATTAGGTTTAAACAAGACAAATTTTGTTTTACAACCACTTTTTTCGTTACAGAAAAGCTCAAGCTTTGGAAATTTGAACTGATCCTTACTACTCTCTAAAAGTAAGGTTTATTACGAAACTTAAAAGGGTATAGAGAAGTGCAACCAATTATAAACCCTTTTAGATTTCGTAGAAGACATGGTGCAGTACGAAACCGTTTAAGTGCATAAATTCTAGCAGCTTTTTTCTAAAAAAATTTTTCTGAGCAAGTGCAGCTTAGGCTTGTTTTCATTGTATAAGGCGGCGCAAACTGAGCCCAAAAAATACGTGAAACTTCTGTAATTTTTGGTTTTTCGAGAGAAAATCATGAGGAAAAAACATAAAGAAATAAGCAAATGTTGATCAATCGTTTCAATGCACTTAAAACGGTTTCGTACTGCACCTTGTCTTCTATGAAACCTAAAAGGGCTTAGAAATGGTTGTACTTCTCTATGCCCTTTTAAGTTTCTTATTTTTTTTTAGAGAGTACGGGCGCAATGCTCGAAACTACCTTTCTGTAATTTTTCTCTCAACACAGTTGAAAATATATATGTTAATCAT